AGTTTAAATCTTTTAATAGTTCAAAGTAAACTAAATTAAATTCAAACCCTTTTAGTTGGTTCAGATAGAATTCTAAAAATTGCCATTTGTTAGCTAACTATTAACAGCATCTGAAATTTGTGGCACTTGAACTTCCTGACACATGCAGCAAACTGGTTTCTCAGGATGGTGCACACTGACTCAAAGACGCTGCTCAGAAAATTCTTGTCTTTAGGGAATAAGCGGCCATACAGCGGCCCACATATCTTCCATTGGAACCTTCATCTTATCAAACAGGGCGTGGTATAATGGGGCCAGATGGTAAGGGATGCCAGTTTGTGTTTGACAGCTGGTATGGAGCCTGTCATTGTCACAGCACTAACACTTACTGTGCCCATTTGTCTCTGCACCATTATTGGGTTTTCTGATAAAGATGTGTGAGCCACTGTGCAGCTGGTGATTCCCAAACAACTTTCAGATCAATGTCCATGAGTCAGTTCATACTATCCTGAAAGACTGGTTTGTTGCATCCATCAGTAAGTTACCAGAAATATGGCAATGGTGCAATGATCTCAGTGGGAGTATGTGGAGTGTGCTAAAGTGTAATTGTGTGGCTGTCATCATCTCTCCGCCTGTATTCCAAGTACGTCCAGATTATTTCTGAATTGCCCTTGTACAAAAGAAATTTATTTTTTTTACACATGTAGCTCAGTCAGTATAGTGACTGGCTACGGACTGGACGACCGGGGTTCGATCCCCGACGAGGCAGAGGATTTTTCCTCTAGCCTCTGTGTCCAGACTGGTTCTGGGGCCCACCCAGACTCCTATACATTGGGTACCGTGGTCCTTACCTGAGGGTAAAGCACGGCCAGGGTGTGATACTGACCACTCACCCCCTCAAAGAGCTAAGGTTAAGAATGAGTAGGAGCTATACTGCCTCTCCCCCAAGCACCAACAGCTAGTGGGACAGCTTTACTTTTACTTCTACACAAAAATACAGTGGTAATGGAACAAATTACATACCCATCTCTATAAATCCTACAGCTTACATATTACTGTTAAGTGCATTAGATGGAGGTAAGGAGGATGGAAACTGATTTAGTGGGAAATGTAACAATGGGATGTCCCATATTGTGAAAGTGAAAAGAAATGTGGGAACCCTTTACCACCGTACAGCAGAAAACAAATCTGCCAGTCACTTACACTGAAAATAATAATGTACCTGAGGAAGTGCGTGTATCATCCACAACGCGCAGGTTCCGTGCCTTGATGACTACAACAGTGAGACGCTCAGCTGATGGTAAGAAGCACAGTGACACCATCAGATCACCAAGTTCAGCCTACAATACACAGTTCAATGCACTTATAAAACTGCAGAGTCAAAATTATATAAGTGAGCTTACTTGGTTTGATAAATCGATGTGCATAATTATATGCAACTTGTTATTTGAAAGATAACATTGTTTTGTTCAGTCATTGAAGTTGGTTTTAAGTACTAATTGATCAATTGATTATTAGGTAACCTAACAATGTTATTTTAGCCATAGGGATTATAAAACATAAAATAAAATGTGAAGATAAACATAAATGGTCAGTATGCCAACATCTGAAAAGAGGTGGCCATAGCCTCTTTTAAGCAATTAGCTTGGATGAATTAAGAAATACCACAGAACTAGAAATCAAACTGAGCTTCAAACAATATACAATCCAGACACAAGTGCAGAATGTTGCCACTACACCAACCTGTTTAGTGATTCTCAGTAAGAATTTACATTGTTTTCCTCAATCATTTCGTAGCGTTACTTTGAAACAAGTCACGACTAGTTCCTTTTATTATCTTTCCAATCAGCTGTTGTCATCCTCAAATTGCTTTCAATATTATATAACCCCTGAATTTGACAAACTGTTGTTAACTATGTAATAAATCTAATCAATTATGATGTACCTGAGAAAATGCTAGTATCAGTTCTAATGTAATGAAATGAAATTTCTTGGTGAGAAATACAAGATTTTTTTGAAAATGCAGAAAAGATATTTTATTCTGTGAATGCTGGTCTTCTGGGTTATAATGTAGTTAATTATTACTGACCTTTGCATCCTGTTCAGAACATGGGCTCAGTCCTTTCCATAATGTGACTTTCTCAGAGAGATCAATGTGTGCTAGGGGAAGTTTGACGCCACCAATACTGTGGTGACGGGAGTAAGCATCAAAGTCATAAAGAATGACCTCCAGTGTACGGCGACCTATGGTTGTGGGTCGTACCTCAAATACAAAGTCTTCGTCGAACACTGCGCAGCAAATATTCTTTGTTAGGACTCACATTTTGAGAGTTGTTAAAATTATAATCCTTGAAGTGTGGTGGATTCAGCCAGATTTGAAATCTGACATTTTCATAATTTAAACCACATAAATTATTGCTTATTTTCAGGATTAAATCCTGTCAGGAAAATTCTGGACAATATTTTAATTAATTACTCAATTCGTGGAGTAGGATCTGTCATCAAGGAGCTAATTCAGCCAACTTCTGCTAAAACAGCGTTAATGAGACGTTGTAGTAGGGCAGTTAATTAAAAAGTTAGTTAGTTTAGAGTTGCGTTCTTTGGATAGAAAGTAAAAAGCAACAGAATTGCTACATAGAGGAAACAATCATCATTGGCTTGTTCTAAGTATAATAATGATTTACCAGTTGAAGATATGCCATACAGTAATCACATTCCGTTGTCTCTAAGTTGGGTTGTTAAACTCGATGAGTAAAATATTCTGTATATTTTTCCTCGCACATTGATTTTATCACACCATAGTCCCATCACACTATCTGTGTAAATAAATGAATGGATAAACACCTGACTAAAATTTAATTATAATTACTGAGAAAACCCATGGAATAATTGTGATTAAGCTGGAATCTGAACTGCCAGTTGGGACAACATTGGTTAAGGAAAAATTCAATGCATTTTATGAACTAGTCAAGAAATTCTTGCTTGTTATGGAACTTGAAGGATTATTACCACCTTCACAAGGAAAATCCGGTCCTCACATTCATACATTATTTATCGTCTTACTAAAGGGACAATATTTTAAATCCATAAATTAATATTTTCTAGCTAATCATTCTGAATTTACAAGAATGAGTTAAAAATAGGTTCAAATAACAGGTTGTTATTCTATGAACAAGCAAATATTTTAAGCACGTGACTACCAACTTTTCAAAGAAGACATAAAAATTTAATTTCTACAGGGTGGGTGGGAAATAAGTAGGCATTGAGAAATGGTTATAACCTCTATATTTCCAATGCAAAGATAATTATTTAATGCCTACTTACTTCCCATCCACTCTGTAGATTTATCTGTAGATTCATGAGATAATCTTTGGTAGCCAATAACAATTGTGCCTCGGTGACACGTAGTTCAATACACACACATATAATGGTATAGCTGGAGACAAATAAAAGAAATTTGCGCCATCATAAAGATTTTATATGGTTAATAATAAAAAACTGGGGGACCGCAGTGGCCGCGCGGTCTGAGGCGTGGGTCTCGTGCCGCTTGGTCGCAGGGACCGTGGGTTCGAATCTCACTCAAGCCATGGATGTTTTTCTGTGTTATGTTGTCCTGTAAATAGGTAAAGGCCTTGCGACGGGCCGATCTCTCGTCAAAGGAGTCCTACCAAAATGTCCATAGATCAAGTCAGCTGAAAAGTTGGGGACCCGTAAAGGGTACCGGAAAATGTATAAACATTGTTAAACCGAAAAAAGAAGATAATAAAAAACTGTTTTATACTATCTCATTTTTATAATATGAATTTTTCACAAATTATCAGTTATGAGTATAATAAGTTAGGAAATATATGCATAGTAAATTGTGCTAGTGCATTCTCCAGAATTTGGCCTTTGCCCGTGTGAACGATGCCAGTTGTGTCAGAATTTTGAGAGTCGGTGACCTTTGTATGGACGGCATATCTGACACAAATCTGGTTGCAGATGATGTCAAGATGGTAGGTTCCTAGTGATTCTCCCATATGGTTACACGGCTGGGATACACCAGGTGGGGGATTCCCTATCAGTTACTTTCTCATGCAGAAGCACATGTTCTTCATGTGAAGTGCCCAATATAGTTATCGAATTTCAACCAAAACTGGTATATACTGACAAATTTTAATAAAATTTGTTTCATAGTTCTCGAGTTGTTACATACAGGTGTACAAGAAGATGCTAATTGGTGTAATTTTATAATTTTTTGTTTCAAACACCTAATATGGCAAAGACCAGGTAAGAAAGAGATCTCACAGATCATTTATCTGTAGATTCATGAGATAATCTTTGGTAGCCAATAACAATTGTGCCTCGGTGACACGTAGTTCAATACACACACATATAATGGTATAGCTGGAGACAAATAAAAGAAATTTGCGCCATCATAAAGATTTTATATGGTTAATAATAAAAAACTGGGGGACCGCAGTGGCCGCGCGGTCTGAGGCGTGGGTCTCGTGCCGCTTGGTCGCAGGGACCGTGGGTTCGAATCTCACTCAAGCCATGGATGTTTTTCTGTGTTATGTTGTCCTGTAAATAGGTAAAGGCCTTGCGACGGGCCGATCTCTCGTCAAAGGAGTCCTACCAAAATGTCCATAGATCAAGTCAGCTGAAAAGTTGGGGACCCGTAAAGGGTACCGGAAAATGTATAAACATTGTTAAACCGAAAAAAGAAGATAATAAAAAACTGTTTTATACTATCTCATTTTTATAATATGAATTTTTCACAAATTATCAGTTATGAGTATAATAAGTTAGGAAATATATGCATAGTAAATTGTGCTAGTGCATTCTCCAGAATTTGGCCTTTGCCCGTGTGAACGATGCCAGTTGTGTCAGAATTTTGAGAGTCGGTGACCTTTGTATGGACGGCATATCTGACACAAATCTGGTTGCAGATGATGTCAAGATGGTAGGTTCCTAGTGATTCTCCCATATGGTTACACGGCTGGGATACACCAGGTGGGGGATTCCCTATCAGTTACTTTCTCATGCAGAAGCACATGTTCTTCATGTGAAGTGCCCAATATAGTTATCGAATTTCAACCAAAACTGGTATATACTGACAAATTTTAATAAAATTTGTTTCATAGTTCTCGAGTTGTTACATACAGGTGTACAAGAAGATGCTAATTGGTGTAATTTTATAATTTTTTGTTTCAAACACCTAATATGGCAAAGACCAGGTAAGAAAGAGATCTCACAGATCAAACTAAGTAGCTGAAACAGATAAATAAAAATATGCTAATCCCAGATCTACGTCATACCGAGTTACAAACCATGGAATCATTACTGCATTAGATTTTAGACAAATTTCTATTTATTTATGGAATTAGAGGAGTTAAAATTGTCCTGTAATGATGTAATTTAAATCTATGAGTTTGACATGCGACAAATATTTGGATACAAACCTGGATTTAGGGTTCTCTTATGAATGCGAGTTTGCCAGACGTTGCTTCTATCTGGGAGCAGCCGGATCTTGGCATATGGATCAGCTGTCCCACTAAAGTCTCGAGCCTGTAAGTCGTGTGCCTGAAAAAACAGTTCAATGAAGTGGACCTCCTAATTACCAAGCAGTAGTAGTAACCACTGTCATAATAAGGTAAGGTTTTATATGTATGATCTTGAGCTTTCACGGCGACTATATACAATATAATCCTCTTGGGCTATCAGCCACGTCAAGTGGTTAAAGATGAGATATCTCATTTAAAAATGTGATTCTTTTCAGGATTGAATATGTTTTTTTATCAAATAATGTCAGCGACTTTTCAGAATTTCATAAAAATGTCTGTGGTTGAGCAATAACAGACATTTCAAAAACCAAGTAAGTTGTTTATTTCTTTTTTAGGAAGCTCGAAATTGAAATGGCTAATCCTTAAAGGGCTAAAATCGAGACATGTCTTTTGATAATATTTTTATTTTCAAGTAGCCAATAAAATAAAACTCTGGAAAATTGTCCTTTACAACGAAGGAAATGCACACTAAATAATTCTACTGACGTTTTCTTAAAAGCGAACAGATGGCCAAATTTTTCGTATTACATTTGCCTGGAATAACTGAGAAAAACCATGATAAATTTGAAACTGGTGTGGGTACGAGAAGTTTTATTAATCGACAGTGTCGTATTCGAACATCAAGATGTATGACAAAGATTATCCGTGTTCAGAAGTGTTAAAGATGCAAACGTTTGTAAATTTCCAAGTATTTAATTTAACTGAACATTCCGGTTGTCTATTACATGATTAAGCAGTTTCCTGCATACGACAGAAGGGTCTTTAGTTCTCCATTTCTTCGAGTCTCCACAGACTCATCGTTGGTAACACATCACGGATTTTCTCAAACTCGTCAGACCATGCTCCTTTATAATGTATTTAACACTGTTGATCATTCTAAAACAATATCCAACAACCTCGTAGAACGTCAAGGCACAACTGTGCAAGTAGAATGCCAAAAAATGCTTCCAGAACAAGTCAGCATTGGAAACAGCTTAGAAACCAAGCTTAGAACCATGCCTTTTCTTTTCATTGACGTCATCACAAAATTCTGATAGTTATATAAGTAAACTTCTACCAGACTACACGGCACAGCAGCAACTCAGAAGACTGCCATCTTCACAACTGAAGTTTTAGGTATAGTACAGAGTCGTAATCGGCAATGTACAGCAGAAACTCTGCATAATTCCCCTTATTTAAGGATTCCGCAGGTCCATCATGTCCACGAAGGAACATATTCCCCTAGTCCTTTGAGCTTTTCTATGGCTAGAACAGCGAACAGCCATTTCTCCTAATACGTGACAATTGCATTCCTGGTAAAGCACCGCGTTATGGAAAAATCTCCTTACACAAATCAGTGTTATCGACTACAGTCCATCGGTGGTCTTTGAAGTCGATGACACTAATTTTTCGGTGGCTTTAGATTCGTCAGATTTAATAAATGTCTTTCCTTTTTTATTCAAGAGCTCAACATGAGGTAGAAGCTTACGTCATACTCGATTCAACAAACGCCAATGATATTTCCCCATGTCTCTACAATTATGTCGATGCCATGCTTTATACTGAATGCTTTCCAGAACTCTTTGACGCTCGGTCTGAGCGAATGTGTCTCTCGTAGTAGTAGTAGTCTTGAAGGCAGCAATTACGTCTCGATAAAGAGGCTCCAGCAAAAATATTACTTTTATATTTTCAGCGAAATCGATAATAAATGAAGAATGGTTTGGCGCATTATTTAAAACGCCTCCTTAATTTTCTTGCAGTTTTTTTTCGTATCCAGTACCACAATTCAGCATGGTGTGCATTCTTGGTTAGCAGGATTCACGACCCATCAGTACATGGGTTCTACCGGGACTGCTGTGACCCCCTTTTCGCGAAATGATGATGAAAGTGGAGTAAATTGTTGGGATGCCACGGAAAAACCGGAGGAAAACTCCGTGTTGCCTGGACCACGGCCTTGTCCAACACAAGTTGTAAATCTGAGCACCGCCGGGAATCGAACCCGGAACCCCAGTATTACAAGCCCAGCGTTCTAACCGCTAGACCACCGTGCAGCACTTTTCCAGTTAATTTACACCACAGTAACTATCACAAAGCAAGATAACCTTGCCACTCATTGTAACCGTACAGTATTTAATTTTATTTACTTAGTGTTCTGTCTGACGACAGGTCCATATGAACAGGATCCTTCCATCCTTTTCTCGGACTGGGACCTGTTCATATACGTTCTTGGCAGATGATCCAGAAGGGGTTTGCCATTGCCTTCTTCTGTGTGTGAATGGAGTAATTGTTGGGATGCAACGGAGGAAAACTCCGTGTTGCCTAAACCACGGCCTTGCCCAACACAAGTTAGAAATTCGGGCACCGCCGGGAATCGAACCCGAGACCCCAGGATTACAAGGACAAAGGATAAATTATCTTAAAGTGAAAGTAATTCTGTCTGTATGTGCGTGTGATATGAATCAGGGATAAATAACAGGTTTCGTGGGGTGAATGCGTGGTGTGCTTTTGTTTAGGACTGGACGGTAGCAAGTCTGTGGGGGTGTTATGAAGGGGGGGTGTGTGCATGAATAGATTGCAATGAAATCGCGGTTTGCGTCAGGTGCTCCCTGGGTGAAAAATGAGCTAGTGTCATTATAAGGCTAGTGTTATGACCGCTCATTGTAACCGTACAGTATTTAAATGAAAACAAAATATAGCAGCCGAGCGCTAATACACAAACTTGACGCTTATGCAGGTTGGACAAAAACTGACGCCAATAAACAGGCTTCAGGGCGGTAGGGAGAAGAGGAAATTCCGACGAATTTCACTGTAAGTGGCGGGTAACCGGGAAGTTTCACGTCGTGTTTTTAGAATCACATATTGAATTATTTTGACTACTCTGGTGTGGTGATTTTGCGCTCTTTTGATGACACACCACGCCGTATACAGCGAAGAGGTATAGTGGTGTGACTCCAGACACCTGTTTCATTAACGGCCATTTTGATTTTTCATTTACAAATTTGTTGTGACGTTCAAAAGTATTGTAATATTTATTACATTTATTAATATTGATTATTTAATTAAAATAAAAAAAAATATTATGAGACTAAACGTGAAGCAATAAAATATGTTCTTGTTATTAAAAAATTGAGGATATTCAGATACCATACAAAATACTGTTTATTTACATGTACAGTAGAATCTGTAATGTTTTCACCAACTTTTTAAAGGCCACTGACAAATATATTGCAAATATCACCCAGCTTAATATTCAACAACTCTGCATTTTCCCCACAGAGTATATTTATGGTTTCAATAACAGTCTTACCTCTATCAGTCTTATTGTGAGAATACCAGCGGCGGGGTCGTAAGTGAGAGTCAGCTGGATGGAGCCACGTATATCTTCGGGACTGCTGGGTGTTCGAGACGGGGATGGCTGCAAATATAAAATAAAACATTGTTTTTAGAAAGAGGCGCATTTGTAAATTCACAAACAATGGAATAAATTCAGTGTTCTATTTCTAGAAGTCAAACATTTCTTATTTCATAACCATAATAATCACGCTTATGTCATCCTGGTCGCAAGTCGTCATAATCGAACTTTTCTCGAACTCGTTATACGAGGTGCGATCGGAAAGTTTCAAGACTGCGCGTATAAAAACCCGTACACTTATCTCAGGTATTAAATTCATCCATCACCCTCGAAGTAGTTCCCCTGGGAGTGAACACA